GTGTAATATCTATATTTATTCAGTTTTTTTTAGTACCATTATTGACTAATATGAGAATGTTTATCTGATTTATGTACAATGCAGTTTGTACAGTAATATTTTTTGTCTTTTAAAAGAGATATTATCAGAGAGACTTGCTTTGTTTACCAAATGAAGTGGATCTAATTGGATTTGCATTTTAAACATTAAATAAAAGTTAAAAAGATATTATTTTTATTTCACATATTAAGGTTTTAGTTATGATACTCCCAAAATAATTCAGCAGAAATTCACAGATTTTTACCAAAATTCTCTGCAGAAATAGCAAAAAACTTCAACAGATTCCGTCTGGCCTTAGACATGTGGTATATGTCTAAGTTAGTGGTTCATTCTGCTGTAGTAACCCCTGATTAATAAAGGGACAAAGCCAAAAACAAAATGAGTGAATGAATAAATGAGTCAAATTTGTTATGCCAAGATATGTACATACTGTATATATTGAACAATGCCATAAAACTGGTAAAAACATGTCTCTCAAACCATCTTTTGATGCATTTTTAACACTGACAATAAAAAGAAATCTAATACCGCCATACATATGTGTGTGTGTTTGCGTGCACTTGTCATTGAGACAGGTGTGTGTTTGTTTGAGAGTGAAATTAAAGGAAGAAAAAGTGAGAGAAAAGACAGTGAGCATGAATCTGAAAAGAAAATGGGTCTGTGTGTGTGTGTGTGTGTGTGTGTGTGTGTGTGTGTGTGTGTGTGTGTGTGTGTGTGTGTGTGTTTGCAGAGTCAGATGAGAACAGAAGAATCATAAGAAGAGGCTGCGTAAAATCACCCTTTCTCTCGCTCTTAGATGTTGCTGTAGAATTACCTTTTATACTGACCACACACACACATAGCTTTATCAAACACAGTGCAGTGAATGGAGGAAGTCCACACTCACACGTTGACTCTTATCTCTGCAGCCTGTTGGCCAAACACAGCTCTGTTGCCACAGTTACCCCACTTACCCATGTTAATGGCCGTAACCCTTGGTTACTCCAGGTTACGCACAGTAGCACGTGGTTAGCCACAGTTTTATGCCGTCATAAATGAGCTTACATAATGTCAGTATGAAGGCACAATTGACTGCTTTAAAGGGCACCTATGGTGAAAATCATCTTTTGTAAGCTGTTTGGACAGAACTGTGTTTAGGTACAGTGTGACCACAGTCATAATGGAGTGATACAAAGACAATACGCCTCTTTTTTTATTTCCTGATATTAAAATAGGATCCAAATACCTCCCATTTTGAGGCCCACAGCAACGTGACGTAGGAGTGCGGTTTCCCAGCCCACCCAATTGATTGACAGCCATGTATTAACATGTTTCCGTTGTAACGCATATTATAATATCTAACTAGACTGGACGTGCGCAAAGTACGTTTTTTTCATGTTTGTAATGAATTACAGCGATTTTACATTTTTAAATTATAAAAGAAGATGCTTCAATCTCAGTCTGTGTGTGTGTGTGTGTGTGTGTGTGTGTGTGTGTGTGTGTGTGTGTGTGTGTGTGTGTGTGTGTGTGTGTGTGTGTGTGTGTGTGTGTGTGTGTGTGTGTGTGTGTGTGTGTGTGTGTGTGTGTGTGTGTGTGTGAATTTTGTAACTAGATTGTGTTTGACTCATCCAAGAGCGTAGAATTGGCATGGACGGAAAGGACATGTCCCCTGAATTAAAACAATTACTGAAATGACCCCACCAATAATTTAATCGCCTCTAAAATAAAATAATGCTCCATCAACCCTTAACCTAGATGCAGAAAGGCTTGAATTAACTCCACAGCAAATACATCAAATAATCATTGGGAAAGTTCTTACTTTATTATTTCTCACAATCGTTACGTGAGATCTGCTTTCTTCTTGTCTGTCACTGTGCTGTTTATCTGACGCAGCCCGTGGAAATGAAGGGACACTCTGAACTCATTGTGTTTAGAGCAGAAAATCCAGTATTCTTAAAGGTATAATAAATAATATGATTGGTGTTTTGAGCTAAAACTTTATCGACACATTCATAAAACACAAATGACGTATCTTAAATCCTGAAAAAGGGGCAAAATAGATGCCCTTTTAAGTCTTTGATATAGAAGATGATTTTTACATTTGTTATTGGTCTTTGTTGTTATGTGTTGTGTTAATATAATTTTATTTTGTGTTTAATAGACCCCAGAAAGAAGACCCTTTGGTAGTGGCTACGGGGATCCTTATAAATAAATAAAAATAAATAAATGGAAGATGCGGAAACTACATTATTTATACACACATATATTTTTATAGAAACACTTTAAAAAATAAAACAGGACACATCAGCCAGTCAGTCTCCTGCAGTGGAAATAGTCCAGATATAAAAGCAGAAGCACATCAGTTGTATTCATTTGTGCTGGGTGACTTCATTAATTTGATGTTCACAAACACAGTGTTGTTCAGTGTTCAGTCACATGTAATTGATTGTAATGATTAGCGTAAATGTGTGGTTCACACTGCAGCAAAAAGCGAAAGTCAGATCAACTTTACCTTCAGTACAAACCACAGTTCGCTTCTGAACATGCCAACATTTTTAAAGGTAGGTTTATATTTTTCTGCTCTCCTATGTTTTAAAGTAGTGATTGCTATGTTATCTTTCGTGATGATAAATGCAAGATGGCTGTAATGAAACGTGCCTTTCTATTGCATTTTCATGATTAAAAAACATATAAGCCAGCTGTTTTAACGATTCATTAATTTTCAGACTTCATCCTAATTTATCAGCTGAATAATTCTGATTAATTCTTTGCTAAGTGAACTCAGTGTCTGACTCACTAACCATCTGCAAGTTGAAATTACTGTCAGCAAAACAAATAACTGTTCATATGAAAATGTTTCAATGCATTATTCTGTATGTATGTATGTATACTTTCACTGTATTTCCTATTATATTGTTTCTTCTGGAGAACGTCTTATTTGTTTTGTTTCGGCTAGAATAAAAGCAGTTTTACATTTTTTAAAAAACATTTTAAGGTAAAAACTATTAACCCTTTAAGCGATATTTGTTTCAATTGTATACAGAACAAAACCATCATTTTACAATGATTTAACTAATTACCCTAACTTGCTTTAGTAACCTAATAAAACCTTTAATTTGCACTTTACGCTAATAACTAGTATCTTGATTAATCTATCAAGTAAAATATCATGTACTGTCATCATGGCAAAGATAAAATAAATCAGTTAGTAGAAATAAGTTATTAAAACTACTATCTTTAGAAATGTGTTGAAAATTATCTTCTTTGCGTTAAACAAAAATTGGAGATAAAAATATACAGGGGGTCTAATAATTCTGACCTCAACTGTAAAATATCAAAGTCTACACAATATAAAAGACATGTCACTGGTAGGGTTTTTAATAGGTAAAAGTGTGTATATATGACGAATGAAGCCCCGCCTTCTAGTACAAGAGCCAATCAGTGATCGCTATAGACTGATGTTTCTCCAGGGGAGATGCTCAGACCAGGTGTGTGCTTTTATGACAGTTTTTGTGGTCAACAAACACACTGGAATCTGAGCGAATACTTGCGTCACAGACATAAGAATAATATCCACTTAAAGCTTGAAATTAGTACTTTTAAATGAACCAACTACACATGAAAATAAAAGTTTTTTGGTCACACTTTATTTTGATGGTCCGTTTGTTGAATTAAGTTACACTGCATATACATGCCAACTAATTCTCATTAGATTATTGGTAGACTGTTAGGTTGGGGTTGGGGTTAGTTGAGTTGACATGTACTTGCAAAGTTTCTTATAGTTAGTTTAATGTCTGTTGAAGTAGCAGTACCAACAGATATTAAGCAGACAGTCTACTAATACTCAAATGGACCATCAAAAATAGTGTTTTTTTTTTTTATCTGTATGAAACAAACATATGGTACAGTCCATCCTGTCAAACGCACATCACATGACAGCAACTAAACGCCCCACAAAAGAGTCATTGTCATTTCTGGAGGAGATTTGCAATCAAGACCAAGTTGTGAATTACTTTAGAAGAGCAGCATAATCTGACAAAGCATAATCCAGAGGATGATAATGTGTACATGGCAATAAATGAGAATGTTTTCGTGATCTCGTTCTTTTCGAGTGCATGTGCATTAGCAGCCTAAAAAAATGCTGATTTTCTTTAATTCAAATGAATCTTATGAGACAGTTGTTGCTTAATTTTATTGGTGATTCCATATATGTAATGTAATCGTAAGGTTGGTAAACAGTTTTGGAGAATTTGATGTTTCCCCATTCAGACAGAATGCCCAAGCATTCAAAGATGGCCACCAATCGAAATGACTTGCCTTAATGGGATAATATACAGTATATTTATGTTACATCTATATTCACACATACAACATAGACATTTATTTTTTTATATGTATACTGTATGTGTTTACATAAATATACACACATGGGAATATCAATATTTACATACATCTAAACTAAATATAAACTTCTTTCGGGCCGCACAGTGGTACAGTGGGTAGTACGATCGCCTCACAGCAAGAAGGTCACTCGCTCGAGTTTGCATGTTCTTGCTGTGTTGGCGTGGGTTTCCTCCGGTTGCTCCGGTTTCCCCCACAGTCCAAACACATGCACTACAGGTGAATTGAATAAGCTTATTTGGCTGTAGTGTATGAGTGTGAATGAGAGTGTACAAGTTTCCCGGTGTTGAGTTGCAGCTGGAAGAGCATCGGCTGTGTAAAACATATGCTCATTCCGCAGCGGTGATCCCTGATTAATAAAGTGACTGAGCCGAAAAGAAAATGAATAAATAAACTTCTTTTGTATTATACAGATTCTTGAATTTAAATAATAAATCTTCAAGTTGAATGGAAAATAAACGGCACACTTCACAAATCCAACCAATCGCAGTCTATCTTTCTCCATTTTATGTCATAATATCAGCTGGTGTGTTGACAATGTGTGTAATTGGCTTTACTCTCTGGGTCTTTCATGGACTTACCAGGGCGGGTTGCAGTCTCCTCTTCTCCTGGACGCTGATGTTGCTGCTGCCGTTACTGCTGGGTTTCTTGGCGGCCCAAACGAGTTCCTGCTCCAACAAAACCACCTCGCATTCCTCTCTGAGTCTCCTCCACTTCCTCTCCGCGCACTGCTCGCCGTCCCACTGCACACACACCTAACACACACAGAGACAGAGAGACAGTTGTGAATTAATGTTCAGACACACAGGTGCATACACACAGAGCATATGTGTTCATAATTAACTTGATTGATGCGGCTAATTAAAGCAGCACTCAAAGGTGATAAATCTAATAAACTAGAAACAAATGTCAAATCACAAACACAATACTTAAACACAACCACATGCACACAACTTACACACACTGTATACAACATGAAGCGGAAATACAGTCGATTAGCCATGAATGTTGTGTGTTGATCTACATGATAAAACGATACTCTTAGACCACACACACACACACACACACACACACACACACACACACACACACACACACACACACACACACGGCACACGAAACAAATGCATGCTCACACAGATACACACAAACACACACATACACACACACACACACACAAAACAAACAAATGCATGCTCACTCAGATACACACAAATACACACACACACAAACACACACACACACACACACACAAAACAAACAAATGCATGCTCACACAGATACACACAAATACACACATACACACACACAAAACAAACAAATGCATGCTCACTCAGATACACACAAATACACACACACACACACACACACACACACACACACAC